ATTCTCCATAACACCCGCCCAGGCTTGCATCATCTCTGGAGAGGACACTCCAGCGTCGCCGCAAGGTGTCGACAAAACACGGGAAGCAGCAGTTACCGGTTATAAGCCAAACGCTCAATGTGTCCCGAAATCACTGATGACCCGCAGTCAATAAACGACACACGGAAGACAGGAATTATCGATAGAGAACTTAAAAGGCTAAAGATTGACATCGCTTGCCTTCAGGAGACCAGGCTCCCAGACAACGGTTCACTCAAACAGGCAAATTACACTTTCTTCTGGCAAGGCAGACCAACAAACGAACCTAGACAGCATGGTGTAGGTTTCGCTGTTAAGAACACTCTTACACCATTCATTGATCCCCCTTCATCAGGCACGGAGAGGATCCTCACTCTAAGACTCAGAACAGCTGCGGGCCCAGCAACCATTCTTAGTGTATATGCCCCAACTCTCTGTTCAACTCTGGAAGAGAAGGACCAGTTCTATGGAGCTTTAGACCAGGCAATAGCCAGCATCCACAAAGACGAGGCAATCTACCTCCTGGGAGATTTCAATGCTAGAGTGGGGAGCGACCACGAAGCCTGGCCCACATGCCTTGGACTCTTTGGAAGAGGAAAGATTAATGAAAATGGACAGAGGCTTCTGGAATTGTGCTGCTCACGAGGCTTGTGTGTGACCAACACTTACTTCAAGTGCAAGGATATACATCAAGTATCTTGGAGACACCCTCGATCCCGCCAATGGCACCAGCTGGACCTCATCATCACCAGGCGTGCACAACTAGCTAGCATCCTACTCACTCGCAGCTATCACAGTGCCGACTGTGACACGGATCACTCCCTTGTCGCCAGCAAGGTACGAATAATGAGGAAAAACTCGTACCACTCCAAGAAAAAGGGACGTCCACGTATCAATACCTTCAGCATGAAAGACCCTGCGCTAACGCAGCTGTTCACAGACAAGGTGAAGGAAGGTATCTCAAGGATGTCCCCATGCGTCACCATTGACTCGAAATGGACGCATCTCAGAGACACAATCTATACATCCGCAATACAGGCCTTTGGCAAAAAATCTCACAAAAACACGGACTGGTTTGATGAACATTGGGACGAGATGAAACCTGTCACTGAAGCCAAAAGGAAAGCTCTTACGGCTTACAAGGAAAAGCCTACACCCGACAGGTTGCATGCCTTAAAAACAGCCAAGTCACTTGCCCAAAAGGTTGCACGTAATTGCGCCAATACCTACTGGCTTAACCTCTGTTCCAGCATACAGTCAGCTGCAGATATGGGCGATGCAAAAGCAATGTACGAAAACATCAAAAAGGCAACTGGCCCCTTGACGTCCAAAATTGCTCCTCTAAAGTCCAAAAATGGAGAAATTATCCAAGACTGGGCAGCACAGCTAAAACGGTGGGTTGAGCAGTTACCACAGTCTCCAGCACCGCTCTAGATGACATACCAGATATGCAACTCATGGAAGAACTTGATGTCGTGCCCTCACAGGAAGAGCTGAGCAAAGCTATTGATAGCCTAGCTCGTGGAAAAGCGCCTGGGGATGATGGAATACCACCAGAGGCTCTAAAGAATGGTAAGATAGCTTTACTCCAACCATTGCACGAGATTCTGTCCCTCTGCTGGGAACAGCGCTACATCCCCCAAGACCTAAAGGATGCAAATATAGTGACACTATATAAAAACAAAGGTGATAGGAGTGATTGCAATAATTATTGCGGCATTTCGCTCCTTAGTATTGTAGGAAAGGCCTTTGCCCGTGTCATACTAACACGTTTACAGAGTCTAGCATCCCGTGTCTATCCAGAATCTCAGTGCGGTTTCCGGTCTGGCCGGTCTACCATAGACATGGTGTTCTCCATACGACAGCTCCAGGAAAAATGCAGAGAGCAGCAGATGCCACTGTACATTGCCTTTGTGGACCTTACAAAAGCCTTTGATTACGTCAGTCGCAACGGGCTATTCAAAATACTGGCAAAAATCGGCTGTCCCCCTCACCTACTTGCAATCATCAGAGAGTTCCATGAAAATATGCAGGGTACAGTGCAGTTCGATGGAGCCAAGTCAGAAGCCTTTCCAGTCAGCAGCGGAGTTAAACAAGGTTGTGTACTCGCACCAACACTGTTCGCAATATTCTTCTCTGTACTACTTCGATACGCATTCAAGGATAGCAGTGAGGGAATCTGGTTACACACCAGAGCTGATGGAGGACTTTTCAACACTGCCCGCCTCCGAGCCAAGACCAAAACGACAGATGTCCTAATTCGCGAGCTACTATTTGCGGATGATGCGGCACTAACAGCACACACAGAAATTGGTTTGCAACAACTCGTGTCAAGCTTCTCCAATGCCTGCAAAGAATTTGGTCTGCAAATCAGCTTGAAAAAGACAAACATCATGGCCCAAGACACTCGACCTCCACCTAACATAAAAATCGATAATGAAAACTTGGAGGTTGTGGACAGCTTCACCTACTTGGGGTCCAAGGTCTCCAATACACTGTCCATTGAAGAAGAAATTAACAGCAGAATCGGCAAGGCAGCTGCCACAATGGCTAAACTAAATAAACGGGTCTGGCAAAACACCAAGCTAACGGAGAAAACCAAACTGTGCGTCTATCGAGCTTGTGTCATCAGTACACTACTATACGGGAGCGAGACATGGACCACCTATACATCCCAAGAGCGCAAGCTTAATAGCTTCCATATGAGATGCCTGCGTCGCATCCTTGGTATTAAATGGCAAGAAAAAGTGACTAATAGTGAGGTCCTAATGCGTGCGAATACCCAAAGCATGTTCACAATCCTTAGTGAAAGACGCCTGAGATGGCTAGGTCATGTTAAAAGAATGAGTCCCGGCCGCATTCCGAAAGACCTCCTATATGGTGAACTTGCTTCTGGAAAGAGGAAAACAGGTCGCCCACGTCTGCGATTTAAAGATGTCTGTCAAAGGGACATGAAAGCAGCCAAAATACATACAAGTGACTGGGAGTGTAAGGCAAAAGACCGATCTACGTGGCGCACAGTTGTCAAAGAGGGCGTCATGGTAGCCGAGGAGCGAAGAATGGAAGAGGCTGCAGACAGAAGAGCTAGGAGAAAGGCCAAAACATTTAGAAGCACGGAACTCGTGTGTAAAAACTGTGGTAAAGACTGTCACTCAAGGATAGGACTGCACAGCCACTCGAGAAAATGCAACCCAACCAAACGGTGATGCACCATCGTCTCACGAGACGGAAGGATGCCGATAATAGTAACTAGAAATACAGAAATATTCTAGAAAATCTGTTGATTTGAAGTTGGTTAAAAATTGAATAGATTATTAGATCTAGACAAACTTGTAACAAAACTAATTAAAGGTGTGAAAACACCCAATCAAATAGCTGCTTACTGGAATACCTCAATAAATATATCACGCACAGACTTGCAACTTACTTATGCAGTTACAGCTCAACTGTGGGCAGTCAAATAACACTATCCATTAAACAATGATATTTTAAAGACCTTTCTGTTATATTATTCTGTATTTATTAATTATTTCTCATATATTATTCAGGTAAAAGATGCAATGACTATTATGGTTTCCCAATGGTCTCTTAGCTTACAGCACACCAAGGTTCAACAGGTAACTTCATTTTTTTTTTTTCGCAGTTTTTTTTTTTTTAATTTAATTTAATTTAAATACTAACTATAAACACTGTGCTTTGCCATACGTTTTTTGTTCGAGAACGCAATCAAATAAATATGAGGACATAATTGTATCTATAATATACCCCTCTGAGCAAAAAAAACAATGTGATAAAATAAATCCTGTAAAAATTAGTTTGTTTGGAAATCCTTCCTATTATTATTTTCAGAGGAGTATTTTTACTTGGGCTTCAGCCAGTACCCACCTTTCAGTAGAAGCAGAGGTGCTTGAAGACAAGAAAACATTGGACTGGGAAGACACTGACTGAAAATATTTGGCTAATATAATAAATTGAGTTGTCTAAGGTCTATAAAAACAAAAAACCACCTATTGTTTTAGCATTTTTTAATCGACAAGGAATTTGTCCTTGTTGATCTTCGTCCTGTTTTTTTATATTTTTTAAATGTTTTAATGTTATTCACCTGAAAAGTCGTATTCTTCCCACCTGCCACATGAGTCAGTTAGTATCATCAGGCAGTGATTAAAAGTGCACGCATCAACTCTTGTTAACTACTTTTAGTTTTTGCAGTTGTTTTTTTTTTTTTATAATAAAATGAGTGACCTGGCATTTTGGGAATCAGAGGTTTGTTTAAAATTTAATTTTAGAGTTGAGTCTCTTATTTATTGTTAAAAATTTTGTTCAGCAAATCCGTTTTTTCTTAAAGAGTAGGTAGGCAAAACTCAGGTCTGGTAATTGATTAAACTATTTTTAGTTAATATTTGTCCTTTTTTATATTCATCCTTCCCCGGGAACAGATTAATGGCAAATATTGAGGGTCTTCATTAAGGGAGAACTGAAAAAGTGCATAGTACAAAGAAATGGTTTTGATACCTTTGCTTCACATATTTCCTGTAATAACCAAATAGTTTTAATCATTTCCAATTATTTTCATTTTTTTTAAATTTTTATGTAAATAATGTGATTTTTTTGCTTGATTGTTCATAATGGTATTAAATATTGCTCATTATTTTCTTACAACATTGTAACCGTCTGACACAGACTTGTAATTACTATGAAAATGGTGAACTATCCAATCCATTCCTTTTTATTTAAATAAATATTTTGAAATGTTTTGAGTTTAATATCTTTGCTTATATGGACAATACAAATGTTAGTTATACTTCTTTATAACTTAATTTGCCTAAAATGTTGCTTTTACTAACCTTGCTAAAAATATTTGCCTGTTAAGAAAATGCATTGTTAATTCACCTATTTGGCTCCAATATTGTTATTAAATAAATTAATTAAAATAAATAATTTTAACAAGGTGTTATTATTGAAAATGTAGATTAAATTCATTTTGAAACATCACAATTACAAATTTATAATAAAAATATTTTACGGTACCAATAAATTTTAAAAAAAATAATATACAAATCATTTTTGTGGCAAGCTATCATCTTTTTCAGTCATAATGGAATTTCCCAAGCATACCAAAACAACATACAATGTTTTATATAGTAATAAATACAGGTCCTGGTGACTAACAGTAATTCAACTGTAAGTTAGTAGCAGGTATCCTTCTATTGACTATAAGCTTAGAAGATAAAAATAGATTAAACATTTTAAGGCTCCTGCCCTCAGCTTCCTCATAAGCTGAATACTGTTGGGAATTTTCTTTTGGCTCTAATACAGAAAAATATGAGAACTAGTAATTAATACAATACAATATTATATGTTCAGGGTACAGACTTCTTGGTTGACAACTATGTGTGATGGAAAAAAGACTGAACAAAAATCTTTTCCAATAAAATGGATAACATTTTCATCTTAAGTGTGGGAGGGCCGCTTAATCATAATTTTTTTTCATTATTAATATTTAATATAAATTATTTAATAATTCATCTCAAGATGAAATTTCCCCAAAAAAAAAAAAAGCCTTTTTAATAGTATCATGGAGCAAACCCCCCCCCCCAAAAAAAACAAAAACAACCAGTGTTTCTTATACATCTACATAGTTAAAAGTTACTATCACAGTAGAATTCATGTACAAAGAAAGACATTTAGCCACATAACTTGATTATCAAAAGCAAATCATAACAGCTAGGCTTAACCATTAAAATATTTTACATCAACAATGTGAAAATTATACAAAAGCTTAACAGTATATTACTTACAAGTATTTATTTGCTGGATGATTGTGTTAAGTAAAGTATGTATTCTCCTTTGGCTAAGAACATAACAGATAACTAGAATTTATTTAAAAAGGCTTAATTTTTTTTTAAATTGTGATTTCAAATCTATAATAACATTAAATCAATTGTTTATAGTGTGCAGAGCACTACATTGATTTCTGAGTGCAATCATCCCCTTAAGTAAAAGCTGAATGAATGTAACAAATACAAAGTAACAATATTTATAATGATAAATTAAGAGAATGAAATTATATTATTTACAGTTGTTTTAACTTGAATAAGATTCTGCTCTGATGATAGCAGAACTTCCTGATGGAAATGATTTTATGTTAAAATCCTAAATGCACGAAGGAATAGGTCCCTCCACTTTTAAGATGGAAATAACTCCATCAGCCCATCAATTGGGATGCTAATAAAAAATATAGGACCCACCTTGCACTTAAGTAATTTTTTTTTCTCTTGGCCTAGTTACAACAAAGTTTGCTGACCTCTACTATTGATACAAAGCGTTAAAGAACACAAATACTTCCCTTCACTTAAACACTGCCTGGATCAGATTGAAAGGTTGTGTACTTCTATTTTCTGTAACCTGGTTGACAGCAATAGTTAAGTCTTTGATGAGTACCGTAGACAAAAAAGCTTTTAATTAAGTACAAAAATGAGTTTTCAACCAGTACAGAGCTTGGAGCAGAGTGAAATTATGGCTGAAAACTAATTTTTGAATTTCAGTTATTCAGTTTGCAAAGGAAAAAGCTCTGTTCTATCTCTTACAGAAGCAGTGCTGAGCTTGGCTTTAGTTGACAAAGGCATTTCATCCTTCATGCAGTGTGAACAGTTATTTAATGAATATGACCAGAAGATCACACATTGAATGTTCAAATAAAGTCTTCAGAGTTGATTTGATCTGATCCATGATAAGGACTATTTACAAGTGTGTCACTCATACTCTACTGAAATTTGTTGCACTGTAAATATTTTGATTACCTAAATCCCGATGTCGTGGACTAGCAGCTAAACCACTTGCATGCTGAGATCTGAAGGAAGTATTAATCTTTGTATTTGCATATATTTCATCATCTGCTTCAAGAATTGCCCCTAGTGACCGAGAGACAGCCGCTATGGAAGGTCTGTTTTCATTTTCAGGTGACCAGCAACTTTTTAGCACTTCATACCTGAAAAAATAAATGTGTTATTTGTTTTATAAGAATCTTAAGAGCATTTTTGTCTTACCTCATATTAATTACCTCATAAGAAAAGCGAATTAAAATTAAATTTGTGTATTATTCATTATTATGCTGACCTGAAAGACATGAGAGAAGGATTATAAATTTACTTACACATCATCTGAAAGCGTGTCTGGTTTGCCTAGAATGTATCCTTCCAGCACATAATTTTTTACATCAGAATCATCAACTTCATGGAAAGGCATGCAGCCCCTAGTTAATAATTCCCAAACGAGTACAGCAAAGGACCACTAAGGGGATTAACACAAAAAAGGAATAACTTAATTTATAAAAAAAATTGTTTACTTTGGTTTGTAAATTGACTAATAATAAATTATTTGAAAGGAATACAATTTAGTTTGAAATGAAAGAAAATTAAATTATAAATGGAAATATTTTTCCTTACTTAACACTATTATTAGACATAGAATAAGTCTTCTTATATGTTTGATCAAGTTGTATAAGTACAACAAGATGAAAATACTCTTGCAGCATGAATGTTACATATTTTCATCAAATAACAAACAACACAAACAAAATGTAAATTAAAAAAAAGGACGTTACCACATCTGTTCTCATATCATAATAGCCATCTGAAAAACTTTCAGGTGCCATCCATCTGATAGGGAGATACCGTTCTCGTTTTTCATCGTAGACATATTCATCAGGAAAGAAGTCCCAAGAAAAAGCAGCATCACTAAGTTTTACAATCAAGGATTCATCTAACCTAAATTTAAAACAAAATATTTTAAACAGTTTTTCTTTTTTGTACAATGCGAAAACTACAAAATCAAGATAGGGAGATGGTTGCAGCACAATTCAAGAGTATAATAATTTTTATTTTGTCTTATTAAAGTTTAAAGTTATTACAATGATATAAGTAAAAAAAACATTGTCTGAGAAATGATTTATTTTTAAAACAGTAATTTTTAGATACTAAGAGAAAGATCACTTACATACAATTTCTCGCTGCTATATCTTTATGTGTAATATCTTTTGAAGTGAGAAAATTCACACCTTCTGCAACTTGTTGACCAAAGCTTAAAAGTTGTCGGACACTAAAATTCTGGAAATGGCACGAGTATCACAACTATGATGCATATGGAGAAATTTCTCAAACTCGAATTTTCAAGTTACATCAAATTCCTAATTATTGTAAAATAGAAATTATCTCAAGTTTGTATTGGGTCTTAATCTTTAATCAGTAGGATGTATGTACCATTGTATCACATATTTGTGAAATATAAAATTTTAATCTCACTTTTTTTTTCTTCACAATTGTACCATTTTCATTGATAATTAAATGGTGCATGACAGTTTGCTAAGTCTTTAACATATTATTAATGAAAAACCTTTTAGAAAACAATCATTTTTTTTAATGGTATACATTCCTTGACTATTAATTTCAACTGAATGTCTTCCATTGAGTGAAAATGGCTGTTTAACTCACCTTATTCATATCAGACACAACTGTTTTGAGGAAATTTTGTGACATTCGAGGATACAAGATATGAAATCTGTTTTTGTCAATGCCTATTCCTAATATACCCAAAAGATGAATGTGTTTGTGGCGTTTGAGGCGCAGGCATTCACTTAATGCTAAGTTAGCCCAAGATGGAAGTGTACTTTCTGTAAAATGTATGCATTGCAATGGTTAGTGAAACATTTTTTCAATTCAAAAACTAAAAATATTTACAATAATCCATTTAAAATTAAGCATTAATATTATATGCTACTTAAAATATCAGTTATTAAAATATATTTCTGTTGCTGTTATTTACCTGTCATCAGATTAATAGGCATTTTAATATAGAGCTTTTGACCTGAAACAGTGCTGGTATTTTGAAGGGATCCATCAGTAAGCATGGCTTGTTTTCCTGTTTAAAAATTTAGTTTATAATTTTATAATTAACTATCAGTCTCACAAAGGAGTATGAATTTTAAATTTTTAATGAACATGATATTTTATTGATTGACATTCATATTTTCTGTTAGCATTTTAAATTTACATAACACCATAATTTATAATTTTGAGTTTTATAGTATGTTTTTTACAGTAGTCCAAAGTTTTGTCTGCAATCAACTTGTATTCTATCAACTAAATTTGCAAATTACCTTTCACAATGCAGACTCTTCCAACAGCAAAATGACCACCTCCAATATAACATTGACGAATTTCTTCTCTAAGACCAGCATCAACTTTAGGAATAAACTCTTCAATAAAGATTGCATCTTCAGCTGAAGTGTTCACAATGCCTAATTTGGGCTCTTTCAAAACAGTTTCCATTCGAACAGTTCCATTTTCTGGTGGTGGCTGAGAATTTACTGGGGTGGTCACTTCAAAATATAAAAATTGTATGCTTTAAACCCTTTCTACTGATACAAAATCTGGTTCACAGACATTCGGCATTAGTTTCACTAGCACTGTGACTATAACACAAATTTGATTATTTTTTTGCAAATAGTCCTAGTCTGTCCATAGAAAACCCATACTTAATCCCTCAAGCAATGCTCTAAATTGCTTAAATAAAATTTAAAGATTATTTAATTATTAAATTTAAAGACATAGTTCAAAAAATGAAGATGCTAACATTCAATTTCTGTACTTAACATTCAACTTATACATTTCAATTGAAAAATAATTCATTTCTACACAAAAAAAACATCTCATAAAATCTAAAGGATACCCAAAAAATATTTCAGACTCACTTTCAGAATAATCATTCATTGTATTATTCTCTATAGGTGTTTTTCGTTCCAATTGTGTAAAAGTACTAGTATTCTTTTTTCTGTTTCTATACCAGCGGCAGCATATGATTAATATAAATATAACTATTACAAGGAAGATTCCTGCAGCAATGCAGCTGATAATGATAATGAAATTTGTTGTTTCATGAAGTGGCAGGTACTCCATAGTGCCAACTACTCTTTTTATGTTCCCAATCCTAACCTATGATGAAAAAAACAAGACAATAATAAATTGATTTTGGAACCAAAAATGCGTATTAGTACCAAGAACTTGTATTTTTTTCAGTTTAAATATAGTTTTAGAAATGCATAATCATGCATTTGATTTTTTGTTTTAAAAGGACTATGAAAAAAAATCCAGTTGTGTAATGGACACTTCCAATGTTAACAATGTTTATTTTGTTAAAGTTAGTAACAAAAATGTATTCTACTATATCTTAATTTTAATACTTTGTTGTTGGCAAACATATTTAAGAGTGATTTTAGTACCTCTATTGTTAGCTTTGTTGCTCCACTCAAAGGTGAAACAGGTGGTTGACACACAATCTCTGTACTTGACACAGAGTGAATGTAGCAATTAACAACACCCAACAAAACTGTAAGTTCATCAGTATGGCACCCTTCAGTCAGGTCTTTTCCCTTTGTCAAAGTTAAAGCCTAATTAGTTGTGCTAAATAATAATTAACGCATTGTCATAGTAAACCATACTATTATTTTTCTGCAACAAATCTGAAGATTTTTCACTGTAATTGATGCTAGAAAGCGACATCAATTTTAAAATGCCAATTGATTTATTCAAGCAACTAGTCAGAGTGCCTTAGAAAAAAAACAAACTTTCAACTGTTAAATTTAACAATCTTGTTAGTTATTAGGTATTAAAGTGCAAAAGCATACTGTTAATGTTATAGTGTCTTCAAAAGGGTACTGGAACCTAATGTTGCCCACGTCATTGAAGACTGGATCAGGATGAATACTTATGTTTCCAATACTGTGTAAAACCAGGCCATCAAATCTTGCCGTCAACTGAAACTTATCTTGTGCTGATGTGTACAGGTCGTTTACTTCTGGTGTCTGGCACAATACATGATCTGGGTTGTGGCGACAGTTCTGAATTTTGTGAAGGAAAGATTCATTTCCTTTATAAAATCATTCTTGTCTTCATGCATAACTAAAATTTCTAAATAGTTAAAATTTAGAATTATACTTTTATTTTTCAAATAATTTTTCATCTTACCACAGATGCTATCCTTTTTGGCACTGCCATTTTAATAACTTCTAGCTGAGGGTGCTTAATATTCTGTAAGTTGTCTCCATAGATACGAACAACACAGCCTCCACTACAAAGGTAATGACAAAGCAAAGGTATATCAGTAACTTTCTTACTGTTATTTAAATTAAAAACAGTATTTAATATGCCTACAATCTGTAACATTTTTAACAACAATTAATTAACATACTCTGTTAATTGATAGCAAATTCATAATCCATTATAAGTTGAGGGAGAGCAAGCAATAAAATAAATGCATACAGATAAACCATAAACCACACACGTCCTTTTTCATAGCTAATTTGATCTTCTTGAGAGTGCTTACCTAACAAAGCTTTTTATAAACATAGAGTTGGTTGATACCACTGGGTTTGGTTTGTATAAGAAGTCTTTTTGAGAGTAAACTGGTGTGCTGTCTTGCTCCCAACTTAAAGTTAAATTCTGAGCTGCCTTTTCTGATCCATTATGAACTGTTGTGCTAAAGATAATTAAATTATCTTCGCTGAAAAATCAATAGCAGATATAAACCTTAGAATATGTCCATATTTCAACATTGAAGAACCACAAAACATAATAGCGTAACAATAAAAAGTTTTACAAGGCATTAAACTGTTTTCTGTCGTATTTGATAAATACACCCTACAAAAATTATAATAATTATTTTGTCTGGGTTAAAAAATAAACTAACTCCAAGTATAAGAAGCTAATTTAGGCTTTAGTTGTTGTTTTTAAAAATAAATCATCTTACGCTAATTTAACAACTTGTTTGGTATTATCCAGAAAAACAGAAATTGCATCAGTGTCATTTCCCAAGAGGCTGCCCCTGATGGTGACTAGGGTTCCACCAAGCATTGGCCCATAATCTGGCTCAACAGAGTCTATTCTTGGTGTCTAAGATTGTGGCATAAATAAATAACTCCTAAAAATTATTTGTTAAATCCAAGAATTCATTAATTAAAGAAAATTATATCGAGTATTTTAAATTGTGTAGTAAATGACAGAATGTTTAAATATTTATTTTAAACATTGATAAATTCTTTATCATTGTTATTATATGTAAAAAGAAACATAACTATTGTGATGATAGACATATTTAATTTATTAGCAACCACAGCAGAATAGATGGAAGTATATGTCAATTAAAGATATAAATGAACAAAAGTATGTTTTAAATTCCTGAGGACAATAAAATTTAACAAAATGATTCATAGCAGCATTTTATGGGGATTGAAAATTTTGTAATTATAAGGTAGACAAAATCTTACGCAGTGCTTATCTGTGAAAACTCCTCCTCTGCATGGGCACTGACCCGATTGGCTGTGACACTGATTATCTACGGAGCCCACCAATGAACAGTTACATGGTTTGCAGCCCCGAACATTTGCTATTTCTAACTGATAAAAACCAGTTTTACAAGTGTCGCATCTGGGTCCTGTAACATTAGTATTTTTAATAAAAGTATTTATTGAAAAAACAAAACATCTGGGGCTCAGAGAGCCCATCCCTACTTGTCAATTTATAGAGCTCAAAAATAAGAAAGTACTTCATACATCATGTATTTTTAAAATATGTTCACAATAAATTAAAAATAAAATGATTATTCTATTAAGCTTATTAAAATCGTAATAATGTATCTAGACAATCAATTAATGCATTCTCTAGGATCAAGATTATTGTTTACATGCAGAGCTTTTTGATGTTAACATTTTTCTGTTGCGCCCTATTACATTTGGCATAAATTTGTTTCAGAGCGAAAATGTAAATTTTTATTAGTTTTCTTACCGTTAACATTAACTTTACATGGACACTGGCCTGTAGTTTGGTTACATGAGGTGCTCTGGTTTATAGTCCCCACTGTTTCACAATTACAGGCAGCACATCCCTCAGGATTGCTAAGTCCAAAATACAACTCATTGCAACCATCACAGTTTGGAACCTTGGTGTTGGCTTTACATGAACATTGACCAGTAATATTACTGTAGAAAAATCAAGTTAAGTAATTTTTGGCTTTTTTTTTTTTTTTGCATAAGTAAATAATTTAATTCATATTTAATTTTTTACTCTCCTATATTACATAATTTTTAAAAAAAAATTAACATGAAAATTATACCAGAGAAAAAAAAAAAAAAAAGTGCAAAAAAAATGATTTTTAAAAGAACAACTCATTGCAACCATCACAGTTTGGAACCTTGGTGTTGGCTTTACATGAACATTGACCAGTAATATTACTGTAGAAAAATCAAGTTAAGTAATTTTTGGCTTTTTTTTTTTTTGCATAAGTAAATAATTTAATTCATATTTAATTTTTTACTCTCCTATATTACATAATTTTTAAAAAAAAATTAACATGAGAATTATACCAGAGAAAAAACAAAGAAAGAGTGCAAAAAAAATGATTTTTAAAAGAAAAACAATGAAGGAAAGTGATATGAAAAGAAATAAGAAAGTATTCTAAAAATGTTTGAAAGAACATTTTAAAAGAATTTAACTATATTATCTTATATTTCTCTTGACATACTTGCATGCAGATGAGCCTAGCTGGTTACAGTTACAGGGAGTGCACCCTTGGCTGTTTGAGTTACTTAAGTTATAGGTAAAAGTTTTGCAGGTGTCACACAAAGGGCCTTCAACATTAGCTTTACATTGACATTGACCCTAAATAAATGGACAATTTATTTACAATCTCATTTTAGAGATTTCTTTGGTACAATTTTAAACAATAAAATAACACATTTTAAGCTGCAAAGACAATTATTTTAAATTAACATGCAAATATAAATATATTCCATTTAAAGTGATAGAATGGGCTAATAACAAATAATAAAACATTTGTAGAGAATTTCTAGGTGTATTTAATGATATTGCTCATACATATCAGTGGTAGGCAACCTGTGGTTCTGGAGCCACGAGTTTGAAATTAAATAAAGATTTTAATAATTAAGAGAGTGAATATTTAATTTAAGCATAATATCTTTAATGTAATTTCTTAGTTTTAAGTATCAGAAGTGAAATATTACTCCAGGTGTAATGTGAACCTTCACTCTCTCAATCTGTACTGTCTGTGACTCCCTAAAAATTTCTTCGGAGAAATTATATATAAAATAGCTTTTTACTCAAAAAAGTTTTCTGACCACTGATAAATTTATCATTACTGTTGAAGCTGAACATTTTGCTTTTTAATTATAATTTTTTATATCTTTATTTGACATAATATAACTTATTTTATACATAATTTTAAGACAAATACTTTTAAAATATTAGACACCATAGAAATAACTTTTAAAATAGATATCTGAGCCTGGTGAATTTGCAAATTAAAAATGTAGTCACCTTCTCACATGGATGTGAGCTGTTCATTATACCATCAGGATGACACTGGCATTCTCTTGGGCAGTCAAACTGATCTAGATTGCGATAGTAAGGAGGTGTGCATACTCTGCAGTCAGATCCTTGAGTATGACTTACAGGATCACATACACAGCGATAAGTTTCATTGATCTCAGAACAGCCTGCTGCATTTCCATTACAATCACATCTGACGACATATATCATATATATAATTATAAATATTTGTTGTTGTTTTTTGTTTTTTCACTGTTATTACAGACACTGATTGTAATTTAATAAACATTTAAGGAGATTTTATTATTAAAAATAATTATGTTTTTAATAAGAAATTAAAGTCTAGCAAAATAATAAAAGCATTGTACTTGGAAAGGCTATGATTAAATGACATTTATATATTTTTAATGTGTTAAATAGAGTTCATATTTACTAATTTTGTAAAAAATTAATAAGCAAACTGTAATATATATATATTTACAATTTTATAAAAATGGTTTTAGAATCTTTACCTTCCAGAAATAGTTAAATTGGTTAAGACAAAACTTTGAATAATCATGTCATTTTGTCTTTGTAAAAGGATTTTAATTTTGTCAGCAATCTGGCCTTGATAGTCTGAAACTGTGATGTTGTTGATCAAAGAAGTCCTTAAAATAGTGAAAAACCATTAGCTGGCAATAAAAAAAATAAATATCCCTCAAGCATTTTAAGAGATTGACAAGAAATATAAATTATGTTGAAAGGGGCATCACATCTGTACAAACAGAGTATATTTGAAAAATTTAGATTACAATCTAAAAACTTACGTATTAAGTGAGCAGATCTTGTTGACACAAGTAAAGAACTTGGGCATCTTCTCAAGACCACTAGAAATAAAAATGGCTGATACTGCCTTTGGAACTTCTGAGTCGAACATGATTTCAATATGGTCAATCTATAAAGATATGAATGTTTTAAGTATATACATTTAATAATGCAATCCTGAGAAAAAAGACAATGATATATTATTTAAGTAATATAAACTTTTCTTTAACACAAAACGAAAACCCAAGTCTGTGTTCTTATTCTCTCTTGTCTTGACTATTGCAACTCTCTTCTGTCAGGTTCACCAAAACTTTTCATTGAAAAACTCCAAAAGATTCAAAACTCGGCTGCTAGGTTAGTTCTAACTGCAAAAAACGTGATCACTTCACTCCACTTCTTAACTCATTTCATTGGCTCCCTTTACAAGCACGCATCGATTACAAATTTTTTGTTCTCTGACACAAATTTTTCTCTGATTCCTGCCCTTTCTATCTAACTGAACTTCTTTCTGTCTATTCACCCCTTCAACATCTTTACTCCTCCGCTGACATGCTTATTCTTTCTGTTCCTAATAAACACACTAAAACATATTATGGTGAACTTTCTTTTTCTTTGTGCCCCCAAAAAATGGAATTCTCTCCATTACACATCCGTCATATACCGACCATCCAGATCTTCAAAACTGCAATCAAGACACATTTCTTCAAACTGTACTATCCCAACTTATTCTTACGCCCCCACCCTCTGACTGATAAAAGATGCTGCTGGGTGCCATCCATGGCTTGACATCTAAACAGTTCTAGGGTGGGTGGGGAGAATATTTTTTAATAAAGCTGTTTTTTAATTAAATAAATTAAACTTTTTAATGTCATGTTTATTTTTGCCAATATATTTATGTGAAGCGTGGTGAGCCCAGTCTCTACACGAAGGTACAGCTCTATATAAGACCACTGTAATAATAATAAATAGTTATATGATAATTTTCACTTTTTTTTTTTTTAAATGTTTAGAAGAACAATAATTAGATTCAATACCTGGAAGGACGTTGCCATGGTAACAGTGAGGTTAACATCTCCACTGTCTGCTGATGCCCAGTTTCTGGCAGATTGTGTTATATTGTCTTTTATATAATCAGGAGTGTAATAGTTTAATGTTCTGTTAAATCTCGGGAATGTTTTTATACCATTTGTGCATGTATTGCTATCATTTTTTAATCTCTCAAAGAACTCGATTGGACATTGGCACTCACTGGCCTCCACTGGCTCCACTAATCCTGTCTCTATTTCTGCAAGCTCACTGTAAATAAATAAAATACAAATTTAAATGTAACTTTAACATTTGAGAGTACTTTTTGTCTTTTGATTTTATTAAGTTTTATTGCAGTCAAAATCTGAAATTATTAACTATCATTTGCTCTAAGGCACATAAATTTTACACATTATAGACCTTTTCTATTAACAAAAACAACATGTTTATAAAATTTCATATCCTCTGATAAAATCATCACAAGCCAACCATTGGGGTCTAATAATTTCCACAGATGTTGTAAATAAGGTTGCATAGAAATAATAGACTCTTTATGTCTTTTTTTCAGAACGTCCCAATAACATGACATGGCAGACACTGATAAACAAAGTATGCTTCAAACTACAAAGCCCCATAAACTCTTGTCTCATCAAATATAGCTTTGATGGAATTTAATTTCTTTCTATGAATTAAGTGAAACTAAAGTGATTTGTTGTTTGAATTGACTGTAGGCCTATATTATTTCAGTGATATAGGCCAAATGTATATTGGGAGATTGTATATAATTAAGGGGGTAATAAGGGGAGAGACTGCAATCAGGTTAGTACAAAATAAAATGAGTAAAACAGAGTAGGGTTAAACCTGAAAAAATAAACGCAACAAAACAGCGAACGTGTCGGCAGAAAGCCTTCGTCAGCGAACAAAACAACAGAAAAAACGGTATAAAAATAAAAATAAGAAATAGCACTTACCAGCTAAGTGCTATTTCTTATTTTTATACCGTTTTTTCTGTTGTTTTGTTCGCTGATGAAGGCTTTCTGCCGACACGTTCGCTGTTTTGTTGCGTTTATTTTTTCAGGTTTAACCCTACTCTGTTTTACTCATTTTATTTTGTATATAATTAAAAAAGTTCTTTATAATTAAAAAAGTTATTTTTAATAGCATTATTTTAGAAGTTGAAACTATTGTGTCTGAATTAAATTTATACAAAATGAACCTGTTACAGACTGTATACACAAACATTACTTTTATTTAAGTGAAACTCTCTACATTTAAAAAAATTAAACAACTGAAAACAGAATTACTTCCCTTTGGGGACATATTGGCCAGTATTATAGGCCTATACACCTGACAAAATAACAGTAATGAGATAGGCATGTCCAACTATACAGAATTATATAATTCTAGCAATGAATAAAGCACAAGTCACTGATTGAATTGCTATTTTTTAAATTTGTATTTTTTTTAATAGTCAATAATCTCAACAAATACAAAGAAAGAGAACGATTATTAATGCTGCATAATTTTTTTTTTAAAAAGAAGCCACTTACTTGCTTGATAGTGAATCATTGTAGAATTTAACATCATGCAAGTAAAATATGTCATTCATTCGAGGAACTGCAGAAAGACAAAGAAATTATCATTATTAATGGATTTATGGATATACTCTCAAAAATGAGAAGTGTATTAATAAAAAGTAAATCCAAAATTTAAATCTTACTTTCACTGTTTCCAATATATAGGTTTGAAACAGAAACATTGTTGAATCCACCACTTGTTAAGTTCATTGAGTTCTGGTTAATAAAGATGTCCAATTTACTATCTATAACCTGTAAAGGAGATTATATCTATTCAGTGAAAAAAATCTCTATTTTAGCAGATTTAAAATAATATAGTCATTACTTAATCTTCTTCAATATAAATATTTGGCTAAAGGTCACAATTTCACTGACTTTTAATCATTACAAAAAGACCCATATTTTGTGTGGCATAAAAGGTTTTTTTCTGTATGTCTTAAAATGCACACTACTTACAAATTACTATATTTTTATAATTGTTGGGATCTTTACAGAACTGGACATTTTAGTTTAGTTTCCCCTTATTTTTTCTATAAATTAAAGGAATGCATTCAAGCCTAGTAAATGAATTAAATAGCAATCAACAGAAAAGAACATAAAGGTGCATTGGATGTAACCATTACAGCACTGATTTCATGCAGTAACTCACCAGAGAGGGTTAAAATGGAAAATAAATTTATTCAGCTGTTTGGCACCATATCTCCATATGGTATTAATCAAATAATATCCTACTGACGTTTCTCTGTTTCCCTATATTTCATCTATTTTCTAATTGCTGTGTGTTTATGTATCCCTGGATATTCTTGTCCATCATTATTGAGGACCTCATTTTACACAGTGTCAATATTTATATTCTCTCGCTTCCTGTGTTCCCCCTTCCGGCGACACCAATGAATACTTTTTGAGTTGTTTACTGTGCTCTGTTCTTTGTTATATTTTCATTTCTACTGTTAGGTGAAGAAGGCTTTATGCCGAAACATCCTAATCTTTCTGTCCTGTTCTCTAATTCAAGCTTCCACGTACCTCTTTTTGCTATTTCATTCATTTATTTTTTCAAGGAGTTTTTGTCCAACAACAGATTTGTCCCCCACCCAAAAAAAAAAATGTTTTGTTTTGTTGCAATATTGTGTTATTACTTTTAAATATATTGAAATAATTACTTTATTTTTCATTATTTTAAATTTTTGATCTAATATCATGTATAGGCTACGGTTCGGCTGACATGAAGGAAATCTTTTTTTTTTAACTTAAAGTTTGTTAATGAACAACCAGATGTTTACCCTAATACTGAACATGGCTATTGATTGTTTTGTGATCATGTCAGCCTTGCAGAGACTTCTCACGAGACTTTCCACACATACAGTTGTATTGTTCACAATTCTTATATGTATTGCAGCATTGTTTGCAGATTGTGGCATCTCAATGACAGAACTGAAAGAAAAGAACATTAGACTTGAAAAATTAACACATTTTTCAAAGGAAATGTAATTGTATTTTCAAGAGTAATGCATTATATTGTTTTTAAAAATATTGTTTAACCATTGAGCAAAGTTTGTCTTAATTATAATATAAAATATATATTTAATATATATAATTATATATATCTAATAGGCCTTATATATAATTATATATATAAAACCCCAAATCTCTCCAATTTTTTAAAATATTACTCTGAAAATCTTTCTTCATGTAATATATATGGTGCATCTTTATGACACACGAAACTGAAAACAGACGAAGAACAGACCCAATTTTGGGAAAAACAACACATGGTTAGAATAAATATTTGGCACCAAGTTAAAAGGCTCTTTAACGTCAACTGTGCAATCTCAGTTATTTTAATTTGGCATATAGCAGTGTTCCCATAAAGGGAGCATTAATTTTGTGATGGCCCAAACAAAACGTCTTATTTACCATGTTCCTTCAATCTGCTTCACTTTAAAAAAAAAGCACAAAATAAAAACACATGATTCAAAAAATTAAAAATATTTTTACGTTTTTTCCATAGACTAGTTTAGTTAAAAATAATGAAAATAGTTATGGCTATTTTGTATTTAATTTCACTTTGTGGAGTTGAGTTGGGCAGTCAGTAAAGATCAGAATTGATATTGATTTATCTCTGTAGGGTTGCGTTGTTTTGTCATTAAAACAAACCTTCAACGCTCTGAAAATATATTTATTTTTATAATTTTGGTTCCATCATTTATTTACCTTTATTAATTTCCATACTACATATGACATGGTGTTTAAACTTCAACTTCATTTTTTTTTTTTTCATTTTCTTATAACAAAAAACTTGCAAGTACCAGTAGGCTTAAACATCCCTTTCTTTGTAACTTTGCCGGAGTACAAATTTCCCTCATCTTCTCATCTACATTTTAAAAAAAACAATGTATTTGTAATTCTTGGGATGAAAAAAAAATAACTCACCAATTTCTACATTCAGCATAGAGCCAAAACACAAGAGTGAACCTAGGCCCCAGGGATCCATTTCTCTGGGCGAAACAAGTATCCAGTTGGTCAGCGCTCCCGTTGACCAAAAGTGTTTTAGCACCCGCCAGAGAGCCAGTGGTGGGCGGGGGCTGGGGAGGTGGGGTGCTGCTCAAAGTGCATCCCGTTTTATTCTTGGCCGCCTGCCAGTTACTGAAAGGATATTCAACAGCTGGGAGACCTTTCCTTCCGTTGCAGACCGAATCGGGGAAGCAGACGTGTTTTTGGAGACAGGTCGTCTCATTGAAGCTCCGTTTACATAACGTCTGGTCATCACATGGCGGAGATTCCGCAATGGACGCTAGAGATGCAAGCTTTGCTATCTGGTTCTGTAAGACTATGAAGCTGCCATTTGCGAAGTATAGATGAGAGAGGACGAAGCACGTGACCGCCAGTAGATTCATCAACAATGACTTCAAGTTCACCATCTTTTTACACGATGACCGAGGGTTTTGGTTATTGGAAAATCATCTTAAAAAAACTTGTTTACGTATCTTTAAATCAAATTTTAAGATTATTGGTAATTTAGATCAACGATGAAATCTTATCATTTGAGCAGAATGAACGTTTTTCGCTATCCTAAATAGAGACGCTGCGCCATCTGTTGAAAGAGGGGGAACAAATCTGTTGAAAGAGGGGGAACAAACAAATCCAACGAATGTTCAGTTACAGCACGATGAATAAAAAAAACGAAATTGACATCCCACTTCGTCAACGTAGCTCGTGCATGGAAGTGAAAGTTCAATACAGGAAATTTCCGTTTTATCATTCTACATAGCTAATAAAAACCGACCCGTTTACTTTCGAGTCACGGTTCACTGTTGTCACGTCCTTTTACAGAAACTTTCGTTTTTTTTTGTTTTTTTTCTTAACTGACTCGCCAATAAACTAAAATTAGAAGATTGGGGAAGGTAGAAAGCAACCATTAAATAAAATCTAAAGGGCATATGATTCTTTATAAATGCCTTGATAACTGCACATGTTTAGACACGAATCAAACAAAAAATATTGTTATGTATAGATAAAATAATGATAACTATTTGACGATAGAATCTAAAAACCCCTAAATAGGGGTGCGTCTTTCCAGGAAGCTGTCGAACGATGTCGGGAATACAATTTTTTTAACAGATCGAAAATTATTTTTAAAAAGATAATATTAACATACATTGTAACCTAATTAACGCAGAGGAACTGTGAAGGAAGTATGAAGTATTTCTTGCACATGTAGAGAGGCATATGTAGTGCCGGATTTACCTATAATCCAGTTTTTCTAAAGTAAAAACCAACGACTTTCGCAGCAAAGCAAGAAGAAAACTAAAGTAAATAAGTAAGTCATTAGCATACAACGCAGTGTTAAGTTCAAGTCAACGGTCTTTAACCAAATACATACCCCCCCCCCGCCCACAAGGGCAATGGATGTTTAATCATGGACTGGTCTCCAGCACAACTTAAGCCCATACTGACTTCGTCCATTGGTGTCAATGTCGGTACCTCCTCTACTTTAAATCTTAATACTCCAAACATCTTGAGTTATGCACATAATTTAGTAGCACGGTGCCAATTCTGATCATGAATTTTCGCGAAATGGGCTAGTCAGTTTGAGCGGGGGCACTTATAGAATGTTTTATAAGCTTCTATTATTATCATTATAGTGGTCTTATAAAAGCGCGGGACCCCCAACCTAGAGCTGGGCTCACCGCGATTCACATCAAAAATTTGCAGTTACATAATGTTAAAATAGCTTTGCGGAAATGAGTATTGACAAGGTTCATATATAGAAAGAGAACGACAGGCAGGTTAAGGGTAACGTACGGATTCTTTGAGTAAAAAGGACCTTAAACTTCCTTGATTTATATAGCTACTTTCTATCTGGATACATTGACGTGCGTGTGTGTGTGTGTGTTTAATTTTAAATAAATTGTTACTTCTTGTTGTGTCTTGTTTGCCGAAGAAGGCATTTGGCCGAAACGTTCGTTCATTGTCCTTTTTTTTTTTTTTCCAAGCCTAAACATATCCTGTTTCACTATATTTTAAATTTAGAAAACATACACACCAGCATCTTTCAGATCATGTAACATCAATAGAAAGCTGTGCTTTCTTTATTTTATAGTTAATGACTGACAGAAGAGAATGCTGTGAGCTAAATCACATGACAAACATAGAGTTTTAATTAATGGGTTGACTTACTTGAAAGTTTATTCAGAAAGATTGTTCAGACAATTGAATTTAGTAGAAGCTGACAACTTCAAGAACAAAATTGAATCCACTTCTCCTTTTAAACAAACTTACGAACTTCGAGCTAAGCTAATCGTCCTTGTCGATCCCTCTCTATCGAACAGACGGGTGACTAATGAGTAACACCTGACGAGAAATGACTGACTACAGAAAACGATTTACGACTAGATCCAGCGATTTTCACATCGAGGCACTTTATGGACCTGCCCTCCACTTCTTTATCGTCATTGAAGTACACGAGATCTTCATTGGAGAGAGCATGAGGACTCTGCTATACCACTTAACTCGACGTCAATGGCATCACTGCACAAAGTGTCATGCCATTTTCGCTGCTTCTTATCGGAACGAATTATTAGTCACGTCTACGACTCCTGTCGAAATGTTTGACTCCTCTCTATCACACTTGAACACTTCCGTCGAACTCAGCCAATGAAATGAACTTGCTGCTCCTCTCTAACCCAGTTTCACTGAACTACAAAAATTGTCGAAACCTTTGCTATGATTCATATAAACAATCGCTCATCACAAGTATCTACAGTTTAGTGGACACTTTCGTGATTACGTCATGCGACCACGGGGTGAACCTCTTCATCGAAAGAACCGATCATAATAGAAAAACAGAAACGTACTAAAGATTATTTCCTCTTGGATCTCGTTTTACCATACATATATATATATATTATATATATATATATATATATATATATATATATATATATTGTAACTCGACCATATATACATTAATTGCAACATGTTAGAGTAGTTCTCATCAAACTCTCAGTTTGAAACAAAATAACAACACCGCAATATAATCGTAGTAGAAGGTTTGATGAAATAATAGAGCACTGATTAGGCTTAGGCAGTAATATCAATGGTAAAATACTTGACTTCAGAGCATTGATTAGGCAGTAATATCAATGGTAAAATACTTGACTCCAGAGCACTGATGAGCTAGGCAGTAATATCAATGGTAAAATACTTGACTTCAGAGCATTTTAGGCAGTAATATCAATGGTGAAATACTTGACTTCAGAGCACTGATTAGCTAGGCAGTAATATCAATGGTGAAATATTTGACTTCAGAGCACTGATTAGCTAGGCAGTAATATCAATGGTAAAATACTTGACTTCAGAGCACTGATTAGCTAGGCAGTAATATCAATGGTAAAATACTTGACTTCAGAGCACTGATTAGCTAGGCAGTAATATCAATGGTGAAATACTTGACTTCAGAGCACTGATTAGCTAGGCAGTAACATCAATGGTGAAATACTTGACTTCAGAGCATTGATTAGGCAATAATATCAATGGTGAAATTTATGACTTGATCAGTAACATATTTTACACAGCAATTATATGAAACTTGTAACGCGGTCTATTCGCATATTCGCCAAACAGTTGATCAAACATTTATACCAATCATTCCAAATAATAAAATTAAACTTCTATCAACTGACTTTATATACACACAAAGCGTGTTAATAGCTTCCATGGTTATTTAGAACTAGCCCACTGACTTGCTCAGCTTTCGCTTTTCAGCACTCATTGAGTGTTCCTTTTTAATATATTATATATATATATATATATATATATATATAGTATACATATATTTTAAACAAGCAATTATGAGATAGACGGTAAAGGCAGGGGTGTATCTAGGCTTGGTGTCACCTGGTGCTGTCCGCACCCACCAGCTCCGCCCCTAAGAATAGGCATTTTACAGCTCACAGATTGTCCGAATTGGAATTGATAGAGAGGTATAATCGTACCGACTGATAAAATAAATTATAGGACTGATTAAATTGTTAGTCTTTATTAAACAAACAAAAAAACAAAACAAAAATAGAACACTGCTTTTTGTAAGAGAGACAGGAAAGACTGACTAGTGACGATATTTAACCTTGTCTGGATTCAATAACACTTAACTTAGAAATCTCGTAGATGATCGGATCTACTGAGAGTGGTGTCTTCCCGGCAATGGTGAGTACGTGATTGTTCTTCTTAAACTTAAATGAATGTTGTTTTTTTTCTATCATATCAGCCTAAGTGTGTGCCTACCATTTGTAGGACACGATTCTTCCACGATAATTAATTACAACTAACTGTACTCACACGTGACTTTTTTTTAAAATTTCTTTTTGTTTAAAACAACTTCATAATAATAGTTCTGTGACTCCAATGGCGAGCAGCAGGTGGCACGGGGCACGCATTAAATCAAGCACAGAATATCCCCCCCACCCCCCAAACCAATGTTACTTTTAAGCTGCGCGCCCGTGCAGTTAACTCACAGAAGCCGCGCAGCAGTTTTGAGTATCCGCGCAGCAAATTTCCATGTAAGTGTGTGTGTTTGTGGGCTATTAAATTTTTGACACAAAAAAAATTGATGCTGTAAAACTTAGCACACAACTGTATGATTTTGCACATGAACCAGCAAACCTTAGAGGGAACATTGACCCCCCCCCGCCCCCAAACCCATGGACCGTGAAAACATGTATTTCACAAAACTGGTATCTGATGCCAAAAAAAAAAAAAAAAAAAAGTTGGTGACCTCTGAAATGTAGGACCGTGGCAATGCTCTCTGATTAAAGTTGGTGACCTCTGAAATGTAGGACCGTGGCAATGCTCTCTGATTAAAGTTGGTGACCTCTGAAATGTAGGACCGTGGCAATGCTCTCTGATTAAAGTTGGTGACCTCTGAAATGTAGGACCGTGACAATGCTCTCTGATTAAAGTTGGTGACCTCTGAAATGTAGGACCGTTTCAATGCTCTCTGATTAAAGTTGGTGACCTCTGAAATGTAGGACCGTGACAATGCTCTCCGATTATTAAAAAAAACAACAAAAAAACACCATGTCACAGTGGGTGAATGCAAGCATTGTAACTTACCAATCACTGTGGAGAATGGTATACGTTGGTTGCGCGATTATCAGGAAACCTAACTCTAAAACTGATCGATTTTCAATAGCCCCCCCCCCTCCTCCCCTCTCCCCATACTTTATAGCAATGTTAACATAGGAGGTAACATTGCATTCGATATCAACCAAAGTCGGCCGATCTATGAACTACTTCTGCCCCACACATTTTTAAACAACTGGTAAACCTATTATGGCAATCTTAGCAAACTTTCATAACACTAATAACACTGCAAAACTTGCCCGCAATGGTATTTAATTCTGTTAGACTCTCCTGAAGCGCGAACAAACACGTGGGCATCTTTATACACTTTTTACACCGCACTCTTTCCCCACAGAATGGTATATCTTTAGAGCGTGGATACCGCTGCATCCACGCTGCACCGGCAGAGGCGTAATGCGTTAACAACAACCCGAGTAGACAGCTGCACTCAAGCTCGCACTGCATGACCTATAGCCATGTCTCTAAAATTTATAAGGATTTATAAATGGTAGTGTTGAGGTGCTCATGGCTACCCTATACATTGTGTCTATTCAGAATAGATGTCTGACGACCCAGTGGGATCAATTCATTAAAGCAAAATACATAACGTTTCCGAACGTGCATCAAATTATGACCGAAGGTAACTCTACTCTCCGTTATTGAACTCATCGACCACCGCTGTTTAGTTCTGAAGAAATCAGTGACGGTCACTCTATTTTTCATATTCAACTGTATTTCTAAGGGAAAAATCCAAATCCCGTTTAAATATACAACTTAGTTATGCATTGTAATGAAAGTATTTCCACCCGCGGGGTACAATTAGAGGGACAGCGGGTAGGTTGTCGTGTGAGCTGGTTGTCTCATCGTTATTGATATTATGAGAGCGGGTAGGTTGTCGTGTGAGCTGGTTGTCGTGTGAGCTGGTTGTCTCATCGTTATTGATATTATGAGAGCGGGTAGGTTGTTGTGTGAGCTGGTTGTCGTGTGAGCTGGTTGTCGTGTGAGCTGGTTGTCGTGTGAGCTGGTTGTCTCATCGTTATTGATATTATGAGAGCGGGTAGGTTGTCGTGTGAGCTGGTTGTCGTGTGAGCTGGTTGTCGTGTGAGCTGGTTGTCGTGTGAGCTGGTTGTCTCATCGGTATGGATATTATGGGAGCGGGTAGGTTGTCGGGTGAGCTGGTTGTCGGGTGAGCTGGTTGTCGTGTGAGCTGGTTGTCGTGGGAGCTGGTTGTCGTGTGAGCTATCGTGTGAGCTGGTTGTCTCATCGTTATTGATATTATGAGAGCGGGTAGGTTGTCGTGTGAGCTGGTTGTCGTGTGAGCTGGTTGTCGTGTGAGCTGGTTGTCGTGTGAGCTGGTTGTCGTGTGAGCTGGTTGTCGTGTGAGCTGGTTGTCGTGTGAGCTGGTTGTCGTGTGAGCTGGTTGTCTCATCGTTATTGATATTATTATTTTTTAAAGACCAGAAAAGGTGCGAACTAATTTAATGTTGTTTTTAAATGAAATCTACAGTCTCTCTGCAACTTGATTTCACACCGTTTGTCAGAGGCGTAGCGAGGGGGGGGCAGGGGAGGGACAGATGTCCCCGGGTTCCAGCTAGTTAGGGGCGCCAAAATGTGCTTTGATATTATATTGTTGATGAAAATAATGGGTTTGAGAGTTGAAAAAATTAAAAAGGCGCGCTTTAAAATTGATCTTGTCCCCGGGCGCGAATCTTGTCCCCCGGGCGCCAAACACCCTCACTACGCCTCTGCCATTTGTGCGTATAAAAAAGATATTGTGGATTTTTTTTATTGCTCTTGACCACGACAAGTACCTTTTCGAATACTTTGAAGCAACCCTTTCAACCATAAACTAAAGTGGAGCATTAAAAAATAAATTCTAGGTAAAAACTAATTGATCTCAAAGTTACAAATTAATTAAAAATCATGATAATTACTCAAGGGGGCCGTCCATAAAGTACGTCACGCTCCGGAAGTGGGGGGAAGTGAGGGAAAGGGGGGGGGGGAAGTAGTTCAAACATATTTAGACTGTGACACGGGGGGGGGGGGGGGGGGGGGGGGGGGTTAGATTTTGTGTGAGTCACACGGTTTTTTTTCTCACATGTTTTTATATAATACAAATGAAACCTGAAATTTACACTGATGTGATGGTTGTATAGTGACAGAAGATGTCACTTTTTAAAATGTAGCTTAATCGTGAAGCATGTTTTAGGTTTACTTTGAAATAGTTTTTTTAAAATTTTGTAACAATTTAATTTTTGTTCGAAAATGTGACGGACTTTTTTTTTTAAACAATGGGGTTGGGGG